GTAGGAAAGCTAATGCTGCAAGAACTTTATTAAGGTTGAAACAAGGTAACCATTCCCTCATGGATTATGCCCTAGAATTCCATTCCCTTGCGGCAAAAATACACTGGAACAATCGTGCGTTTGTGAATGTGTTCCTTAACGGTTTATCCAATACCCTTTGGACGATGTAGCTACTAGGGATTTGCCTGAGACTTTTGAAAAACGTATCACTTACCTTGGTCATATTGTTGAGAAACTCAACACAGGCAGAATACTAGAGAAAGACATGGAAGGCCGGCTGACTAGCTCCCACCTTTCCCTCAGATACTATGTCAGTGGCTATCCCAGAGCCCATGCAATTGGGTATTACAAGGCTGTCTGATGAAGAACGCCAACATAGAAGGAGAGAGTCTGTGTATTTACTGGGGCAGAAGGGAACACCTCCGTTTGACATGTCCAGAAAGGCCAGAAAACTACAGAGCCTAAGGTCTCATGGAGGACCGGCTTTGGGTGTACTTAAAGAGTCCTCCATAAAATTGAAATAACAAAAAAGGCATCTACTACTTTCTTTTTTTGTGTGTCAGGTTTTAGTGTTGTTTAATAATGTGTTAACGCCATGCCCTAGAAATAAATGTGAAAACTTGTCACAGTATAATTTAAATCCCACCTGCAGCTAACATTGATAGCCAAGTGCTGATCTCCTTCTGCAGCCAGTGATTGTGCCACAGGTGGCTCACTGGGACACTGTTTGATGGTTACAAGTGATTTTTGGATCATTTAAAAATAATTGTAGTTTTTTTCCCACAATGCATTTTTTATGTGGTGTAGCTTTTCTTGATAACTTTTTTAATATAACTTGAACCTAATACAGACAAGGGAAGAGGCTTTTCACACATGTGGGGCTCATTGTTTATATCCTACTGTTAAATAAGACATAATTGTTTCCATTGGGATTACTCTTTGTTATTGAGAGCCGTGAATGTGTGGGAGATCTCTTTGTTTGATTTTGATAAAGTTGGTTGAAAGTCATGCATTTCATTGCACATGCATGTCAATGGACTATGGAAAGACTTTTCAGGAGTTTATTCTGCCTTTAAGACAAGGTTATCTCCGCAAATGAATTCATACGTGTGCATATTTCTTGCATATTCGTTTTTAATCCTTGATTTTGCAATAAATATACTGCGCCATGATCTTTGTTATTATTATTTTTGGTATTTATTTAGCACCAACTTACTCCACAGAGCTTTACAATAATATAAAGGAGGAGATTTCAGAACAAATGACACAAACTAGTACACATTTTGCAAGGAACAATAGGTTGATGATAACTCTGTTTGAACATGCTTACAATCTAGAGCAGATGGGGTATAATAACACGATATAAAGGGCAGCATGGTGATAGCAATCAGGAGACTGTCGCAGAATTGGAATGTGAGAGTGAAAGGGAGTGTGGACCCACTAGTTAGGTTGAGAGAGAAAGAGATTTGAGAAGGTTTGAGAAGTGACAGCTATCTCAGGAAGCCATAGGCTATTTTGAAGAAGTGTATTTTAATGGACTTCTTAAAGGAATGAAGACCAGGGGACAATCTGATGGAAGAATAAAGGCTGTTCCATAGGATCAGAGCTACCATGAAAAAAGTTATGCAACTGGATGTTAGCAGTATGGGTACAAGCAGTGAACAGGAAAAGGCCACTTACAGAGCAACTGAAAATGGGTCTATCTATGAAGAGGTAGAGTTGTTGAGAGCTTTGTAGGTAAGAGTTCATATTTTGAATTGAATCCTACAGTGTACAGAAAGCCAGTGTAATGATTGAAAGATGGTTGACAAGTGAGAGCATTGACAACAGAACAAAATCAGCCTAGCAGCATTCATTACGGATTGTAGAGAGGCAGCATCATGTGTGGAGAGGCCACTTAGGGAAGAATTACAGTAATCAATGTGAGACAAGACTATGCGCAAGCTCCATAGTAGCATCTTGAGTGAGAAAGGGGAAGATGTGGGTACTATATATATTCATAGTATTAGTTTTACTGACAAATATATTTGTGTTCAATGACTAGTGATGTACCGAACGGTTCGCCGGCGAACGGTTCCTGGCGAACATAGCATGTTCGCGTTCGCCACGGCGGGCGAACATATGCGCGGTTCGACCCGCCCCCTATTCGTCATCATTGAGTAAACTTTGACCCTGTACCTCACAGTCAGCAGACACATTCCAGCCAATTAGCAGCACAGCCTCCCTAGCAGACCCTCCCACCTACTGGACAGCATCCATTTTAGATTCATTCTCAAGCTGCATGCTTAGTAAGAGGAGGGAAAGTGTAGCTGCTGTTCATAAGATAGGGAAAAGCATAGCTAGGTTAGGGATAAGGGTATGCTTTTTTTGGATTTTTTTTTTCAATGTAATGTAAATGCACTTAGTTGTCTGCCACTGCTGCCAGCTTCTGTGTCAGGCTCACAGTGCCCATTTCCCCAGTCAGTGCCACCAATTACATCTGGTGTCACAATAGCTTGGATTTAAAAACAAAAAACTTTTTTCACTGTTATAGATTGAATAGCAGTCAGTTGTCTGCCACTGCTGCCAGCTTCTGTGTCAGGCTCACAGTGCATACTGTGCCCATTTCCCCAGTCAGTGCCACCAATTACATCTGGTGTCACAATAGCTTGGATTTAAAAACAAAAAACTTTTTTCACTGTTATAGATTGAATAGCAGTCAGTTGTCTGCCACTGCTGCCAGCTTCTGTGTCAGGCTCACAGTGCATACTGTGCCCATTTCCCCAGTCAGTGCCACAATTACATCTGGTGTCACAATAGCTTGGATTTAAAAACAAAAAAACTTTTTTCACTGTTATAGATTGAATAGCAGTCAGTGTCCTTAAAGCGGGTGTGTTACGCTAACAGTGGATACGCCGACAAGTGCCACTAATTAGATCTGGTGTCACAATAGCTTGGATTTAAAAACAAAAAACTTTTTTCACTGTTATAGATTGAATAGCAGTCAGTGTCCTTAAAGCGGGTGTGTTACGCTAACAGTGGATACGCTGACAAGTGCCACTAATTAGATCTGGTGTCACAATAGCTTGGATTTAAAAACAAAAAACTTTTTTTACTGTTATAGATTGAATAGCAGTCAGTGTCCTTAAAGCGGGTGTGTTACGCCAACAGTGGATACGCTGACAAGTGCCACTAATTAGATCTGGTGTCACAATAGCTTGGATTTAAAAACAAAAAAAACTTTTTTTACTGTTATAGATTGAATAGCAGTCAGTGTCCTTAAAGCGGGTGTGTTACGCTAACAGTGGATACGTTGACAAGTGCCACTAATTAGATCTGGTGTCACAATAGCTTGGATTTAAAAACAAAAAACTTTTTTTACTGTTATAGATTGAATAGCAGTCAGTGTCCTTAAAGCGGGTGTGTTACGCTAACAGTGGATATGCTGACAAGTGCCACTAATTACATCTGGTGTCACAATAGCTTGGATTTAAAAACAAAAAACTTTTTTACTGTTATAGATTGAATAGCAGTCAGTGTCCTTAAAGCGGGTGTGTTACGCTAACAGTGGATACGCTGACAAGTGCCACTAATTAGATCTGGTGTCACAATAATTGGATTTAAAAACAAAAAACTTTTTTTACTGTTATAGATTGAATAGCAGTCAGTGTCCTTAAAGCTGGTGTGTTACGCTAACAGTGGATACGCTGACAAGTGCCACTAATTAGATCTGGTGTCACAATAGCTTGGATTTAAAAAACAAACAAACTATTTTTTCACTGTTATAGATTGAATAGCAGTCAGTGTCCTTAAAGCGGGTGTGTTACGCTAACAGTGGATACGCTGACAAGTGCCACTAATTAGATCCTGTGTCACAATAGTTGGATTTAAAAAAAATAATAATCTTTTTTCACTGTTATAGATTGAATAGCAGTCAGTGTCCTTAAAGCGGGTGTGTTACGCTAACAGTGGATACGGTGACCACTGCCACCACTTAGATCTGGTGACACAATAGCTTGGATTTAAAAACAAAAAACTTTTTTCACTGTTATAGATTGAATAGCAGTCAGTGTCCTTAAAGCGGTGTGTTACGCTAACAGTGGATACGGTGACCAGTGCCACCACTTAGATCTGGTGTCACAATAGCTTGGATTTAAAAACAAAAAACTTTTTTACTGTTATAGATTGAATAGCAGTCAGTGTCCTTAAAGCGGGTGTGTTACGCTAACAGTGGATACGCTGACAAGTGCCACTAATTAGATCCTGTGTCACAATAGCTTGGATTTAAAAACAAAAAACTTTTTTTACTGTTATAGATTGAATAGCAGCCAGTGTCCTTAAAGCGTGTGTGTTACGCTAACAGTGGATACGCTGACAAGTGCCACTAATTAGATCTGGTGTCACAATAGCTTGGATTTAAAAACAAAAAACTTTTTACTGTTATAGATTGAATAGCAGTCAGTGTCCTTAAAGCGGGTGTGTTACGCTAACAGTGGATACGCTGACAAGTGCCACTAATTAGATCTGGTGTCACAATAGTTTGGATTTTAAAAAAAAATAATCTTTTTTCACTGTTATAGATTGAATAGCAGTCAGTGTCCTTAAAGCGGGTGTGTTACGCTAACAGTGGATACGGTGACCAGTGCCACCACTTATATCTGGTGTCACAATAGCTTGGATTTAAAAACAAAAAACTTTTTTCACTGTTATAGATTGAATAG